CTGACACCACACAGGCACCAGCTGCTGGGGTGAAGCTGCTGGTTTCTGCACAGGAACTCAGCCCCAGAGCAGATCTGGGCTTGCTGAGCCATCCCAACCCTAGATTAGTAAGTGAGGCCAACTGGGAATAATATCAGGCAGCTTCTTGCAGAGCAAGGACACGTCTCCCAGCCTGTGCCTGCTGTGAGCGGGAGCAGAGACCTGAAAGGAAGCAGAGATTGGTGTCATTAGTGGGTAGGAGGCCACTGCCAGTGGGACCTGACCTGGCACACGGGGCTCTGGGACGTGCTGTTCTCTCTGTGATCTTTGCCATCGGTGTCATCTGGCAAAGATCACAGAGATCACATCCGTCCTTTGCTGGGCACGCAGGGCTGGGCTGGGGGGCTGAAAACGGGCTGAGCTAAGCAGAGAACATCTCTGTGCTGCTTGCTGGAGAGCCCTTGGCTGGGAAAAACCACCGTGCAAGCAGCAGAACAGTTTGTCCCACTTTCTGCAGACTCCCAAGACTCCCGGCCTGCGGCCCATGGAGCACAGGGACATCTCTGCCGTGCACAAGCTCTTGACCGAGTACCTGAAGCAGTTCCACCTGACGCCCGTGATGAGCCGAGAGGAGGTGGAGCACTGGTTCTTACCTCAGGAGAACATCATCGACACCTTTGTGGTAGAGGTGAGAGGCAGGAGCGGGGTGATGGGGGGTGTTTTCCTGGGTTTTGCCTCTGCTGGAGCTGTGAGAGCACTGAGATGTCCTTCCAGGGTGGGCGTTTGCTGGAGGGTGGTGTCTCCATCCTGGGCTGCTCAAGAGTCCCCTCCCACCCACTGGAAAAGCCCCTCTAAGGCTCTTTCTGGGCTTTATCCCAGCTCTGACATGTCATGGCGTCACTTCTGCCTTCCAGAGCACCCCGGGGGAGGTGACAGACTTCCTGAGCTTCTACACTCTGCCCTCCACCATCATGAACCACCCGACTCACAAGAGCCTGAAAGCTGCTTATTCCTTCTACAACGTTCACACCAAGACGCCTCTCATCGACCTCATGAGTGACGCCCTCATCCTCGCCAAGTCGGTGAGGGACAGCAGGGACGGGGTGGCACCAGGGCACCGGGAGCTCACTCGGCACTGGGAAGCTCACTGGGCACTGGGAGCTCACTGGGCACTGGGAGCTCACTGGGAAGCTCACTGGGCACTGGGAGCTCACTGGGCACTGGGAAGCTCACTGGGCACCAGCAGCTCACCCGGAAGCTCATGGCAGGCTGGACACCCTTGGTTTTGTGGGAAGGGCCAGCCACAGGGCTGTTCCTAAAATCCTAAAGGATCTGCCACTCAGGAGAGGGATGCAGGGGTACCCTGAGCCTTCCAGCTCGTGGTGAGCAGAGCTCAGGGTGTCTGCTCGTGTCCTACAGCAAACAGTCCTGCTGTGTGTCCATAGGACTTGGATTGAGGGTGGGTACACTGAGGCTGAGCTCTTACCTGCTGGCCTTGGGCCCTTTTTTTGGGATGCAGAGCTGGGCAGGAGAGGGGGACAGGCAGCTCACAGGTGGGAGGAGCTCTCCAGCATGAAAGCAGGAGCTCACGGCTTTGTGTCTTCCCTGAGCAGAAAGGATTCGACGTCTTCAATGCACTGGATCTCATGGAAAACAAAACCTTCCTGGAGAAGCTGAAGTTTGGGATCGGGGACGGGAACCTGCAGTATTACCTGTACAATTGGAAGTGTCCCAGCATGGCCCCAGAGAAGGTCAGTGCCGTGGGGTGGGGGATCCTCCTCGTGTGTTGGAGGGGGTCTCGTCCCCACAGCCCCAGGGAAATGAGTTTGTTACACACCCCTCAGTGTTCCCAGGCTGGCTGGTGTCTGTCACACGTGGTGACAGGTGAATCCAGTGTCAGCTCCTCTGTGCCATCCCTGCTGTGCCTGCACAGAGGCTGTCCCTGGGGAAAATCCCTGGACACTCATCTCTCCAGGCTCATTTTAGTCTTGAACGGTGACACATGGGACACCAGTGGTTGTGACAGTCACCTGGGAAGCAGTTCCTGTGCCCTGTGAGCCCTCACAGGACCCAGGAGTCACCACACAGCCCTGGGTGTCACTGTCCTAGTGGGGTGGGAAGAACAACCACCCCCTCTGGAGAGAGCAGGAGAACTTCAGAGGTGTTGGGTTGTTGTGAACAGGATCCCGTGAGGATGAGCTGTGTCACCATGAGCCATGGAGTCACAGGGTGTCACCTTGTCCCCAGGGCCAGCAGCCACTCCCCACCTAGCTGCTCCCAGTACTGGGCCATGGGCACCCCATCTGCCAGGCCTGGCTGTTTTTAGGTAGTACCTGGTTGCCACTGTCCCTCCACCCTGAAGATGTTCAGCATCTGTCCAGTCCACAGCCCCCTTGGAGAGGATGGTGCTTGAGAGCCAGAATCTGCACAGCTACATCCCAGCTAATTAATGCCTTAACAGCTAATTAATGCCTTGATGGCAGTCACGGGGCTTTGCTTCCATGATGTGAAGCCAGGTCTGTCTCTGGACACAAAACACACACCCTAAACCAGCCTCACTTGGCCACTGAGCCTTCCAGGAAAGCCCAGGAGATTCCCAGGAGGTGTCAGCAATCCCTTTTCTCACTGGAAGAGCTGGTGGGTTGGAGAGCCTGGTGCTGGGAATGCTCCCAGGATGTGCCCTGTGGTGGGGCTGACCAGAGACCAGGACCACCCACCAGCAGTGGGACTTGTCTCAGGACTGGGCTCTGGGAAGCAGCTTCTCCCAGATCATAGAATCATGGAATGGTTTGGGTTGAAAGGGACCTTAAAGCTCATTCAGTTCCATCTGCTTTCCATAGGCAGGGACACCTTCCACTATCCCAGGTTGCTCCAAACCCCATCCAACCTGGCCTTGGACACTTCCAGGGATCCAGGGGCAGCCACAGCTTCTCTGGGCAACCTGTGCCAGAGGCTCACCACCCTCAGCCAAGAATTTCTTCCCAATAGAATTCCTTCCCAATATCCCATCTAACCCTGCCCTCTGGCAGTGGGAAGTCATTCTCCCTTGTCATGTCCCTCCATCCCTAGTCCCAAGTCCCTCTCCAGCTCTCTTGGAGCCCCTTTAGGCCTGGAAGGGGCTCTCAGGTGTCCCTGGAGCCTTCTCTTCTCCAGGTGAACCCCCCCAGCTCTCCCAGCCTGGCTCATGGCAGAGCTGTTCCCTCCCTCTAATCATGAGCTCAGGAACATCCCTGGCTCGTGAGTCAAGTCTGTCTCACAGCCTGGCGGGGTCTGTGGTTCGTCACACCCCAAACATTGGTCACCTCCCCAGAGCTGGGCAAGTGCCCATGTGCCCATTCAGCCACAAGTCCAGGGCTTTGCTGCTCTCAAATATCCCAAAACTGGTGAGGAAACCCACATGGACAACTCTGAGCCCTCCCAGCTGGCACAGTGAGGGGTCGGGAGCTGTGTCTGCCCGGAGCTGGGAACACCGGTGCTCGGGCACATCCTGACTCCCCGTTTCCATTGGTCCCAGGTCGGACTGGTGCTGCAGTAAGTGAGCCCTTGCCAGGAGAGCGTGGAGGAGCCGGGCCTGGTGGAGGTGCTGCCCCTCATCCTTTCTGCCAAAGCTGGACCCGCACCGGGCCAGGGGGAACCGGAGCAGCCGCCCAAGGCTCCCGCCGCCACCCGCCGCCTCCTCGTCTGGTCTGGTCTAATTTGCATCCTCGTAAAGACACGATCAAGGGAATGTAACTGCTGAAACTAGATCATGATTGGCATATAATGGAGTTAACGGGTGAATAATAAAAGTATATATTATATATATTTTAAATCTTTCCTGTTCCCAACTGCCATGAGTCGCATTCGGCCGCTGCACCGGGACTGTTCTCCGTGGGCACACCGAGGTGGAGGCTGCGGCACCGGCGTGGTGGAGCACCGGGATGTGGTGGCCAGTGGCCAGGTCCTCCTGCCTGCCCTGAGGGTGCTTTGGACTCTCCCCTGCTCGGCTCTTTGCCCCCAGTTTGCTCCCTCCTCTGTTCAACTGGTTCCCTCCCTGCGGGCTCCGGAGCACGTCGGAATTCCTTCCTAAGGGCTATTTGTGCAAGTGATGCCTTGTCCCATCTCCTCCCAGACATGGAGACTCCAACCCTGCAACGGGGCGAGTGCTGAACTGAGGGGCAGCAGCCCCTGAGGATCCAGGGGGACTCAGCTCTGGCACACCCATTTCTGCTCAGACTCCTGGGGCTCCTTCCCTGTAATGCTGGGGCTGTGGGCACCAGGAGATGCTCCATCACTGCTGCCTCAGCTGCTTTTCTCTGGAAGCATGGAAATATGGATACATGCCACCGGCATCACCCCCGGGCCTTCAGGCTCCCCAGCCACCCTGGTGCCTCCACCACCTCCCAGCTCGTCATCTTGTGCTGTGGAATCTACCAAGATAAAGGAAAAGTTTTCTCTCATGGAAAACCTTCATCCCATCGAGATCCTTTGGGAAAGGAGCGCCTGGACAGCCTCCTGCCGTGTCAGGAACCGTTTCCACCCAGCTCTCCGAGATGCTCCTGCCCTCCCAGCCAAAGGTTTCCAAAGCTGCACACCAAGGCCAAGACCCCCCGTCTATGCACTCCCCCACCTCCCTGTCCCCGTGTGTCCGTCACACCCTGTGGCACCACGGACCCCCAGGGTCTCTGCCCACCCCAGCCTGGACCTGCAGGGCCCCAGTGGGGACCAGGAGCCCGTCATGTCCCCCCCGGCAGCGCCATCACATCCCCCTGCTCGGGGTCCTGTGTCACCTATGCAAGTACCTCTGTGTCCCCTCTGGTGTCCCTGCTGTGCTGGGGGAGGCTGGGTGTGGGTGGGGGGCACCCAGTGGGACCCTCCCCTTGCCCCTGGGGCAGGTTTGAGGGCTGTTCCCTCCCGGCTTCCGTGGGTGCAGCACCCATGGGTGCTTGGCAGCTCCCTGGGACAGTGCTGGTTTGGGGGTGGGCTCGGCCCTTATCCCCCCACAACAGGCCCTGGGGGGTGACAGGGACAGCGGGACAGGCTCTGTTAAAATAAAACCTTTATTGACTGGCTTGACCCCGGGGTATAAATGTGTGCCAGGGCAGGGGTGGGGGTGTGTCCCCAGCCGGGCACAGTGTGGCACATGGTGGCAGGGTCCCCTGGGGGACCTCGTGGTGATGGCACTGTCCTTGCAGCTGGCATCAAGCATGGCCAGGGCTGGTGACATTTGGGGGTTGCTGTCACCCCTGTGGGGTTTTCTACGGCCTGGTCACCCCATCCTGGCTGTCACAGGGACAGGGAGGGAAGGAGTAGGGCACCAGCAGACGAGGTGGCACTATGGGCACTATGGAGGGGGTCCCCCAGCCCCTTGGGTGCTGTCACCACAGGCAGGGGAGCAGTGTCACCGGGCTGTCCCCACACAGGGAGCAGGAGGGTGCCCACCCCCCACGGGGGGACACGACGTCCCCCGTCCCACGGGGACCTCCCAGGGACCTCACAGGCTCCTGCACTGGACGTGCACGAAGAGCGTGGCCGGGGACAGGGACGCGCCGTCCTTGGAGAGCAGGTGGATGTGCCGGTACCCTGGGGACACAGAGGGGGCTCAGCGCGGGGCAGGGGGACCGTCCCCACCCCCGGGGGGCAGCGGGGGTGGCTCCCCATCCCCCCACCTGTGCGCAGGCTGGGCAGGGGCAGCGTGAACTGCCCCACGAAGTCGTTGCAGGAGGTGCTGTCGTAGTCCTCCACCACGAAGCGGAGCAGGGCCAGCTCGGGGACCCCCACCCGGAACCGCAGCGTCTCCTCCCAGCGCGGGTTGAACCCTGCGGCACCGGGACGGGGCTGGGCGGGGCCGCCGGGGCCACCCCCCGCCCCCAGGGACCACCCAGACCCACCCTGGCACCGGCTCGGCTGCCACCCTGCACAGGGCAGGGCGGAACTGGGGCAGCAGGGGTGATACTGGGCCTGCGGTGGGGTGTACTGGGGAAAAGGGACTGGGCTATACTGGGAGAATGGAGGTCATACTGGGGCTGTGGTGGGGTATAGTGGGGAAAAGAGGTCGTGCTGGGGCTGTGAGGAGGTATGCTGGGGATTGGGGGTCATACTGGTGCTGAACTGGGCTACACTGGGAGAATGGGGGTCCTGCTGTGGCCACGGTGGGGTATACTAGGGAAATGGGTCATACTGGGGGAATGGGGGTCGTGTTGTGGCTGCAGTGGGACGTACTGGGGGAATAGGGGTCATACTGGGGGAATAGGGATCATACTGGTGCTAGACTGGGCTATACTGGGGGAATAGGGGTCATACTGTGGCTGCAGTGGGATATACTGGGGGAATAGTGGTCATAGTGGGTGAAAGGGGTGCTGGACTGGGCCATACTGGGAGCAGAGTGGTCATACAGGAGCCATGGTGGACTGGAGGGGTGGGATCATACTGAGGGAATGATGGTCATACTGGGACTATGATGGGCTATGCTGGGGGAATGGGGGTCATACTGGGGCCATCGTGGGCTATACTGGAGGAATGGCAGTACCACTGGGGCCAGGCTCTGCTATACTGGGGGAACAGGAGTCCTCCTGTGATCAGTCTGGGCTATACTGGGAGAATGGGAGTCATACTGGGGCTGTGATGGGCTATACTGGGGAGGATGGTCATCATACTGGGCTTGGGCTGGGTATACTGGAGGCCAGAAGGGAGCAGCACTGGTGAGGATGGGACATGCTGGGACCCTGCCAGTGCTGGGGATCAGGCTGTGCTGGGGACAGAGCACTGGGGGGCACTGGGGGAACTGGGACGTCCTGGGCACCAGTGCAGCTGGGGGTGGGTGCTGGGGGGGTAGTGCTCGAGGGACTGTCCCCCCCTGGGGGTCAGGGGGCACCTGGGAGGTCCCTGGGGTTTGGGTGCCCTGGGGTGTCCCCAGGGGTCAGGGTTCCCCGTGGTGCCTCTGGGTGACCTGAGGTGTCCTGGGGATCAGGGTGCCCTAAGGACTGGGGGCCCTGGGGTGTCCCTGGAGATCAGGGGCCCTGGGATGGCCCCCAGACTGACCGTTGTTGAGCTTGTGCCGGGTCTGTTGCCGGGCGCAGTCGGCCGGGACCCCGTGGACCTCCACGCGCACGAAGGGATCCACGATGGAGCTGCCCTTGTCCCTGTTCAGCTTGGGCAGCTGCTGCGCCGTGATCACCTGGGGACAGGGGGCTGGGGCACCAGGGGCACTGCGGGGGGCTTGGGGGGACAGGGTTGGGGGGACAGGGCTGGTGTCCCCAGGAGAGGGGGTGTGGGTGGCACTTGGTTGGGACTGGTGCGAAGAGAAGGGAGGTGTTTGATGCCACCCAGTAGAAGGGTGATACCAGCTGGATTTGGGGACAGAGTTGGTGTCACCCAGGAGAAGGGACAAAGGTGGTACATGGCTGGGTGCAAGGACAGAATCGGTACCACCCAGGAGAAGGGACATGGGTGGCACATGTCTGGGTGCAGGGACAGGGTTGGTGCCCCCAGGAGAAGGGACATGGGTGGTACCCAAACAGATGTGAGGACAGGGTCAGTGTCCCCTGGGGAAGAGAGGTTGGTGGCACCCAAGGAGAAGGTGTGCAGGTGGCACCTGGCTGGCCACAGGGTTGGCATCACCCTGAGGGGACATGGGTGGCAGCTGCCTGGGCATGGGGTTGGTGTCACCCAGAAGAGACGTGGGTGGCACCTGGTTGGGAGCGGGGTTGGTGTCACCCGGGAATAGTGGCCAGGCATTGGAATGTCATGGGAGTCACCCAGTAGGGCCGCGGGTGGCACCCACCCAGGGGTCGTGGGGTGCCCTCACCCTGATGTGCAGCTCCAGGCGCCGGGACCCCTCCCCGGGGGGGCTGCGCAGGCAGGGGGGCTTCAGGACGTACCCACAGCCCCCGTTGCCCAGGAAGCGCCCGGTGTTCAGGTCCATCTCATATCCCGGAGTCTGGAAGTTGAGGGCCACTGTGGGGACAGCGGGACGGGTGTCAGAGCGGGTGACAACTCCGGGGGGGTGCCAGGTGTCCCGGGGGGCTGGGGGGTCTCACCCAGCTGGCAGCCGGCGTTCCACATCTCCTGGGGGTTGTAGTTGGCTGAGTTCATCTTCAGCCCCAGCGGGTACACCCGGCTCAGCTGCCGGGTGTTGTACCGGACCAGCGCCGGGCCTGGGGAGGGACAGGGCTGAGCGGGGCCCATGGGGCTGGTGTGGGGCCCCCTGTGTGCCCGGGGACAGGGACAGAGCCTGCCCGGCTGCGTGGACCCCAAAACCAGGCCCTGCGGTTCAGCCCCCAACCCCGGACCTTGAACTTGGAGCCCAGACCCTGATCCCAGTTCTCAGCCCCTGGATGCTGACCTAGACCTTAATCTGAGCCCAAGATCCCAGGCCTTGACCCCACACCTTGGCTTTAGATGCCAGACCCTGATCCTGGACCTTGACTCTGACCCCACACCCCGATCCATCAGACTCCAAACCAAAACCCTGGACACTGACCCACATCCTAATCCCAACTCTAGATCCCAGACCCTGACCCCAGACATTGACTCTGGACCCCAGATCTTGAACACTGACTCAGATCTTAATCTCAGCCCTGGACCCCAGACCCTGACCTTAGATCTCGACCCTAGACCCTGACCTCCAACCCCAGACTTTGACCCCAGACCTCAGTCCCTGGACTGTGACCCAGATCTTAATCCCAGCCCCAGATCTCACCCTGGACCCAGATGCCACATCCTAAACCCTGATCCCAGACCCTGATCCTAGTCCTGTGACCCTCTGGCCCCAGACTCTGCCAGCAGACCCCAGTCCCACCAGTCCAGAGCAACCCAACCAAGGCCAGCGTGTCCCTGACCACCACCCCTGGACCCACCCTGGTGACAGAGCCCATCCTGCATCCCAGTGACATTAGGGGCATGGAACCACTCTGTCCCCATCCCTGCCCCACCCCTGTCCCCATCCCTGTCCCCATCCCATCACCCTCACCCGCCTCCTTGATGAGCTTCCGTGCCTTCCTCTCGCTGAAGGAGGACATGTGGCAGGGCTGGGGGTGGCGCAGGGCCTGGGCCAGCCCGGGGAAGGGCACGGCCTGGCAATAAACCACCAGGGCTGACAGCTCCGGGGACACCTGCAGTGCATCCTTGGCCTGCGGGAGCCACCGTGGGGTCAGGGCCACCCTGTCTCTGGGGGCCAACCCCCTGCCCAAGGGTCTGCAGAGTCCCCCACCCTGAGAGCCTGAGAGCCCCCAAAGGGATGGAGAACCTGAGGCAATGGAATGATGGGCCGTGGGCTGATGGACAAACCAAGCATGTTGAGAACCTGAGGTCATGGAGAGCACAAGGGGATGGACAACCCAAGATGTCAGAGACCCCAAGGTGACAGAGACCCCGAAGTGATGGGCACCCCGAGATGATGGAGAGAGGTGACAGAGACCCCTGAGGTGATGGAGAACTGAGGCAATGGAGAACCCCCCTCCAAGGTGATGGAGACCCCGAGGGATCACCCTGCAGGTGATGGAGACCCCAAAGTGAGGGATAATCCAACATGATGGAGAACTTGAGGTGATGGAGACCCTGAAGCATCAGAAACCCCAGCCCAATGGAGTACCCAGCCCAATGGGAAGAGGGAGGCAGAACTGAGGGGTCCCCAGTATCGGTTCCCTCTGCTGGGCCACTCACCACCCCCACGGCACCCAACCCATCAACCCCCAGTTCCATCCCACAACCCACCTGCAGAGGTTTGATCTCCTGCAGCGACTGGAAGAGGAGAGAGCGGGGCTGCAGCGGGGTGTGCTGGCTGTGCTCACCCCCCCAGGGCCCAGCACTGCTGGCACACTCCAGGATGCCGTGGTCCTCCAGCACCACCACGACTCCATGGCCCCCCAGCACCACTGGCATGCTGTGATCCATCAGGACCACCAGGACTCCAAGATCCTCCAGCACCACCACGATGTCGTGGTCCCCCGGCACCACAGCCCTGGGAGAGCCCCTTACCCGCCGGTTGCTTCTGTCCTGCATCTTCTCCTCCTCTTCCTCTTCCTCCTCTTCCTCCTCCTCTGGGTCCAGGAGGCAGGTGACTCCCCGAGGCTCCTGCCACGGCTCTGGCAGCTTCTTGCCCTTCACCAGGATCTTTTCCTTCAGCTGCTGTGGGGGGAAGGACCGAACTCAGGGCTCAGAGGGGACATGGGCCGAGCTCAGGGCTCAGAGGGGACATGGGCTGAGCTCAGGGCTCAGAGGGGACATGGGCTGAGCTCAGGGCTCAGAGGGGACATGAGGACATGGGCAGGGG